TGAACACTAAATTGAATGCACAGCTCAGTCATATAGATACTTGGATTTTGATACTGAAACAACATAAAACTTACCGCTTCCCAATCTACCGAATTCTTGAAGAAGGGATGTTCTTTCATATCAACCAACGCTTCGTTTATGTCCACCCGACAACCAAGTCGTTCTGCTGGGTCCTGAAATCAAAGCGGAGCTTCTCATGCATCATAATACTGAAAAACGGTCCGAGACTCAGAGGATGTTCGATCAAATAACTCTTGATAGCACCTAGAGCCTCAAAACTGACCTTATTTAGAAATTGCTTTAAAACTGAAGCGGCCTTCACGGATAAACTTCGAGGAATTCTTATTTGCTTCTCGAGAATAATCTGGAAGTAAATTTACTTGGAAGAGATTGTAAAATAGAGAGTTTTACCTGGAAAAGATAATCTTCAGTGTTCTGATCAGGATCGCCCGCGGCGCCAACTATGTCAAATGGCGAACGACCAGCCATCATCTCGTACCTGGAAAAAAGATGATGAGAAAAGACAAAAAGGCAATTTTTCTGAAGGAAAAACCGAATATTGAGGTGTAACACTTTTTCAGAAGTTTACTCGGTTATTTGGATCCCACCTTTATAGCAACGCAAGCATAAACCGAATATTCAGCACTGTTTAACAGCATTAGAATTAGATTATTAGGAAACTCCCCCTCAAAATACCACTCGTAAATCATTTTCGTACAACAAAAGGGACTTGAAATGAGCAAAGAGGTATACGGCCTGCGAGATATTGCCTTTACTTGCCATGTTTCTATGTCAAACCATTAGAAGCTCAGATTTTTCTCAGATAGAAAATGATTTCAGAAATACATCTCAAGGAGGCGTCATTCAAGTTTATTATCGTGGTTCCAGGTAGGATAAACGAAACCACTAATAACGGAGATATTTATGAGATCATGTCAGGAGCACCAGCCAGTAATTTTTTTTCTCAAAAGAACGTATTTAAACGTTAGCAAACTCACATGAGCACACCCAGAGCCCACCAGTCAACGCTGAAGCCATAGTCTTCACCACGTAGAATCTCAGGAGCGATGTAATTCGGCGTACCACAGAAAGTGGAAGTAACATCACCTGGCCAGATGTTCTCCTAAAACAAGCTACGATTAAAATCACAAAACTGTTTCAGAGACACCACTCTTCATTTGCAAGTTTTCA